TTTTTTTAATATTAGGCCAGTTTACGTGTAATAAAGTAGCAGTTATATTTAATTCCAATGAGTTATATCGTTTTCTCTATCGTATATTATATATTGCTGCAAGATTCRTTATATTTTGATTAAGTAGTTTAGTAGATGCCTAACATATATAGGGGCCCGCAGAAATTTTTCTAGGGGGGGAGGCAATGTTAGGATTTGAAGATAAATATTATAATTTTACTAGRTGTTTTAAAATAATAACYTTTTTTATTATACTTGTATAGAATATATTATATTTTATTATATTACAACCATTATTTTATACTTTAAATTTGTTGTTTAGTATATAGTAATTTATCTTAAAATATTCAATWAAAAAAAATATTTTGAAAAAGCCAGGGGGGCAAATGCCCCAGCTTGCCCTTCCYTGCGGGCGCCTATGCTAACGTATAATAAATTAGAACTTAGGACTTCTAGTACCCATAAACCTCAAAATATGTATGCACATATACAATTAAAACACAAATATTAAGCGCACCTCAATATTCTGTATAAAAAAATAGAATATATTGTATAAACTATGTTTCCGCTAAATTATAATATACATATGAAAAAAAAATATTAAAAATATGATTTTAATTAATTGATAAAAACTTGAAGAATTGCATTCTAATCAACTAACAGTAGGTATGCGATAAATTATGAAGGACAACTGAAGCTTACTTCCTGCAGTCCTACACGCGTCACGATATTATCGGCCAGATAATGAATCGATAATATTAATATTTTATGTTGGTTGGCCGTAGACATTAAGAAAATAATATTTTTTTACAGATTTTTATATGTAAAATTATGTTTAATACCAAAATTTTCCAAATTTGTATCTATCTTTTGTACGGAATACATTTGMAGTCTAAACTATTGATATTACATAAAATCAATATCAAAATTCAAAACGAAATTCTAGATACAAAGTTGTCAATTACCTAACTGAATTCTTAAATTCGCTTGATTTACCAGACATTTACATCAGACTTCCAACATTGAAAATCTGTTCACAACGACTCTACAATGCACCAGGTTTTTGGTGAAAATATTTATGAACTACATCATCAAAAATACAATTTTATAAAATAAATTTAAAGGCGAAGATGTATTGTTATCACGCGTCCAAATGATTCCAAYATAAATGCCATTCGAATTCAAACTTTTTAGTTAACGGTTCGACTTACTTTTGCAATGACCATCAATAAAGCACAAGGATATTCGATACAAGTGTTAGGACTGAATTTTGAAAATCCATACTTCTCATATGAACAGATATATCTGGTCTGCTCACGCATYGGAAAACTTTTGATTTATTTGTGTATACAACAGAAGAATTTTATAAAACTGTTATCACTTATACTTGTAATTCACAAATATACTGTGTCATTGTGAAATGTAGCATTGTCCGTTCCTATGTAGTATGTTTATATTCACACAGGTTAAAATGTTAAATGTCATTCAGAAAATTATGTAATACTTATACAGTTAAATCGATTGTAAAAGTTTTTGTATT